TAAGAATTTAGCCTCAATAGTTCAATCCAGGTAAGACACTCGCCCCAATTGTTAAATCCAGGTAAGAATCTTGCCCAATAGTTCAATCCAGGTAAGAATCTCATCCCAATAGTTAAAGAGTTTGAAGAAATAATTAACAAGCTACTAGAATGTGCAGAAATGGACAGACTGACATTAAAAATGAAAGAGAAAGAGGATACAGAATATTATCAAACATGGAATCTATTTGATCAGTGGTTGGGGGAAAAAGGGGGTGGAGATTGAGAACGTAACATGTATTATTAAGCAAATTGAACACCCAGACAACGTGATGTTTATTAAGCACTAAGAAATGTAATTAATAAAAAAAATTAATAATTAAAAAAAAAGTTAAAGAATTTCCACCCGCCCTGCCTGCCTGGGACTTTATGGTCTTGTACAAAAGTTTTGGGTTGTTTTTTTTTGTGTGGTTTTTTTTTGGAAAAATGAGAAGATAGATCCCATACGAGGATGGATCCCATGAATTAAAATTTGGTGTGGAGATCATGGAGGGTAATGTGGTGAGGATCCTGCAGGCTTCCGGAAGATCCCTGATATTGATCCTATCTCCTTCCAGTGGAAAATGTCGTGTCCCAGCTTGGTGTGACCGGATTCTCTGGAGAGGAGGCAACATCAGCCAGCTCCAATACCGCAGCCACATGGAACTAAAAACAAGCGACCACAAGCCCGTCAGCTCCCTCTTCCTCATAGGGGTAATTCCATCCAGTCGCTCAGTTCCTGACGTGTGGTCCCTGCTTGAAGCTGGTTGGATTATAGGGTGTTATGGCCTAGTGGCCGCCGGCCCCTCCAGTAACCGAATCAGAGGAGGAGGAGGAGGAGGTGTGGGAATCAGGGCCAGCGTCAAGGCATCCTGAGAGCTCCGAGAGGGAAGCGGGAATGGAGCTGTCAGGGGGTGGGGGCAGAGCCTTGGCCGTCTTGTCAGCCCTCAGATGGACAGCCAACAGCCCCCAGGTCTGGAGGTGGCCGATGAGGAAGAAGAGGAACAGCTGGCTCCAGTGCCTGACGCTCGGATGTGCAGAAGGCAGAGGAGAGGAGAGCAGTGGAAATCCATGGGCCGGTCCTTGGGACGGAAGAGCCACCGCTGCTAGCAAAGCCCCACCCTAACTCTGGGGATAACAGGCAGGGGGCGGAGACGAATAGCTGTGGCGGACAAATATTAGTCTCCCTGTTGTCAGGCCCTGATAGCCCGAATTTCTGAATCCTGTCTGGAACTTATCAGAATTCTCTCTTGGAATCTGAGGTCGGGCATGCCTTCTGAGAGAGGGAGGGAGGGAGGGAGAGGAGGGGGAGAGAGAGAGTGTGTGTATGTGTGTATGTGTGTGTGTGTGCTGCTGGAAGAAAGCGAGCGCACCTTCCAGAACTTCTTTTGCCTGTGTGGTGCGTTGGTGTCATTTCAGGGGGGAAAGAAGTGAGCTTCGCTTTCCACAGGCACTTAGAGACTTAATTAGCCTTCTATGAGAGAGAGAGAGAGAGAGAGAAACTTTTTGCTGGGACTCCTAAAAAGGGGAACATTGAGTTAATTACAGAGGGCTTGTCATGTTTGGCAGCTGGGTCAGAAAACAGAGTTAGCACAGCCTCCCCTGGAAACCACCTTGTTCCTTTTCTACAAGGCCAGGTTGTAGAAGCTCTGGTCCACTCCAGAAATTCTGGGAGTTGGTCAGAGCTTGATCCAGGCAGGCGTCTCCGTTCATTTTGAAGCCCTTTCTTCAAATCAAACGATCTTGCTTTTTCCCCCAAAGGTGAAAGTTGTAGATGACCGACGGTACCGGAAAGTATTTGAGGACATTGTTCGGATAATGGACAGGATGGAGAATGACTTCCTTCCGTCGGTGGAGCTGAGCAGGAGGGAGGTAAGGGAGAGAAAAAAAAAATATTATTTTTCCTTCCTCAAGAGGGAAGTTTTTCAGCCACGGGAAACTCCCATCTTGGGTGTCTTCCAAATGTATTGGACTTCAGCTCCCATAAATAAATAAATCTCATGTGTGACCTTGGGACTTGAGTCCAACACACCTCCAAGAAACATGGGGAAACACCTGCCCCCAAGGTGAACCTGCTCCAGAAAGACCCAAATTCTTCAGAGGAAGACAAATTCCTGATGTGGTAAAGGTTCCCCTCGCATATCCGTGCTAGTCGTTTCCGGCTCTAGGGGGCGCTGCTCATCTCCGTTACAAAGCCGAAGAGCCAGCGCTGTCCAAAGACGTCTCCATGGTCATGTGGCCGGCATGACTTAAACACCGAAGGTGCACAGAACGCTGTTCCCTTCCCACCAAAGGGGTCCCTATTTTTCTACTTGCGTTTTTTAAACACGCTTTCGAACTGCTCGGTTGGCAGAAGCTGGGACAAGTCACGGGAGCTCACTCCATTACGCGGTGCTAGGGATCCGAACCGCCGACCTTCCTGATCGACAAACTCAGCGTCTTAGCCCCTGAGCCAGTGCATCCCTGAAGTGGTAGTCTGAGCCAAATATCGTTCTTGTGAAAACTTAAAATAGAAGCCAGTTCTGGTGTTCAGAGTGGGTTCCCTTTTCTGCTGAAAAAAATAATAATAACTCAGGTTTTGTGGGTTTTTTTTCCTCTTCTCTTTTGTGCCTACAGTTCTCTTTTGAGAATGTAAAGTTTCGGCAACTGCAGAAGGAGAAATTCCAGATCACTAACAATGGCCAGGTCCCCTGCCACTTCTCCTTCATCCCCAAGCTCAACGACGTGCAGTACTGCAAACCGTGGCTCCGTGCCGAACCCTGCGAAGGTTATTTGGAGCCAAGTGAGTCTTGAGAAATATGTTGGCATTCTAATTTTTTTTTCTCTCTCCCAATGCCTCTTCATGGTGGAACCGGTCCACCTTCAAGATTCGGTCTTGAAGCTTTCAAGTGTCAACTTGTAAAACATTCCTATGCCTGTTTCCAAGTTGTCATAAGAAAGAGGGGGGGGGAACCTGAAGGGGCATACGGCAAATGAACTCAGAAGCACATTCCAAGCTTATCTCACAAATATTGTAACTGAGGCTAAACCGGGTATTCTGGTTGGAGAACGTGATAGAATAGAATAGGAATAGGAATAGGAATAAGAATAGAATAAAATAGAATAGAATAGAATAGAATAGAATAGAGTAGAATAGAATAGAATAGAATAGAATAGAATAGAATAGAATAGAATAGAATTCTTTATTGGCCAAGTGTGATTGGACACACAAGGAATTTGTCTTGGTGCAAATGCTCTCAGTGTACATAAAAGAAAAGATACATTTGTCAAGAGTCAAGAATCATCAGGTACAACACTTAATGATAGCCATAGGGTACAATAAGCAATCAAATCATACTAGGAAACAGTCAATATAAATCGTTAGGATACAAGCGACAAAGTTACAGTCGTACAGTGATTGATGACACCCAGCCCATGAATGTGTTTCGTTGGAGAATCAATTATGATCCACCCAGAGGGGGGGGTGGAAAAAGGGTCATAGGTGATTGTAAATTACGTGTCTCAGAGTCGGCTTCATACAGGTCATGCCATCATGTTGCTCCTAATAAATCTTTTGAAGTTTTTTCAAGTTTGGCTCGAGGCTCATGATTTAATTAGGGCGATCGCTGGAATCCTGACATCACGGGTCTTCTCCCCTCCCAGATGAGACAGTGGACATCTCCTTGGACGTCTACGTCAGCAAGGACGCGGTGACCCTTCTCAATTCGGGGGAGGACAGGATCGAGGAGATCCTGGTCCTTCACCTGGACCGGGGCAAGGATTACTTCCTCACCATCAGCGGCAACTACCTGGTCAGCTGCTTCGGGACCTCCTTGGAAGCCCTGTGCCGGATGAGGCAGCCCATCCGTGAAGTCCCCGTCACCAAGCTCATTGACCTGGTAGGAAGAAGCTGCTGGGGGGAGCCTCCTGGGAGGTGGGATGGTAGCAGAACTCAAAACGGAGCGCCTCGCTTCCTCACCCGCCTGCTCGAACCTCCTCCACCCTTTCATCCCTGCCAGCCGCGGAGGGGGACTTCAACCCTCCTCCCAATCGGCATGTTGCAGCTTTTGCGTTTGCTTTCCTGTCGCGCTGCCCAAACCCTTCCCCCTCCGCGGCTCCTCTTCATGGAATCCGCGGATCTCCTGTTTGCACCTGCCCTTTAACCCGAGCTTCCCTGCCTAGCGCTCGCTTTTGATCGCGTGCCATTCCCCCCACCATCTGGCTTCCTCATAGACGGTGGGTTCCTTTCTCTTGCTTTGGACTCTGTGCCAGTTTAACCCATGTCGTCTCTTTCCTTTTTTCCCCCCCTCTTTTTCCTTTCCGCCTCTTTGCCTCCTCAATGTGCTCTCAGGGAGAGGACAGCGGCCTCGAAAAGGTAATGGGGCTGGGAAAGCCTTCCGCGGTTCTCTCGGTAGGTGGGGGGGAAACAGACCGAGACACAACACAAGGGGTGGTGAGGCACCGACTGGCGAGAAATGCAGGATTATTTTTTTTTGGCACTGAAGGTGAAGCAATTCCGGAAGGCCGAATTACGGCATGGGGAACACACAGCTTGGTGGTGCGTCCGTGGGAGAAGATCGGAATTGTACATGTAGTCCTTGACGTACGGCCACAGTTGAGCCCAAAAAAATTTTCAGTCGCTAAGTGGGACATTTTTTTCATCCCATATTATGAACCTTCCACAGTTTTTTTTTTTAAGCGAATCACTGCAGATGTTAAGGTATGATTTATCAGTGCTCGGCGAATCTGGCTCCTCCGTTGACTCTGCTGCTTGGAAGTTTGCAAAAGAGGATGGCATGACCAGCTGCAACCATCATAAATAGGAGTCAATTGCCAAGGGTCCGAATTTTAATCGGGGGACCATGGAAATGGCTGCAGTGGTCAAAAAAATGTGTGAAATGGTCATAAGTCTCTTTTTTCCCCCAGTGTTGTGGTAACTTTGAATGATAGTTAAAAGAACTGCTGTGTACGTCAAGGACTGCCTGTAATAGATGCACAAGGGATCTATTAACACAAATGCCAAAAGGGATATGTGTTAGTGGTGTGATATCGTTGTTGATTTTTTGTTTTTTGTTTATAAAAATCAGTTTTAAACCATATGAGAATTAGGAGCTTCTAGACCAACAGGAAGCAGCAATTCTACTGTGGTTTGGTCTCACCTTGATTTCTAAATCCACTCCTGGATTTTTTATAAGAATCCAGGTAAATTGGAACCAGACTGAAAGAATGTAGTGAAGATGATTAGTGGCTGGAAAGAGAAGAGGAGAGGTTGTGACAACTGGCCATGTTTAACCATAACTATTTCTCGAGTCAGATGTCCTACAGAATGCTAGCTGCAAAGTCCAACAAGTTACAACAGAGCTCTCCAAACTTGGCAACTTTTAAGACTTGTGGAGTTCAACTCCTTTAAGGTTAGAAGGTTGATGGCCAACTGCAAAGGAGGCTTGGTTGAGAAGACATACAGACTTAATGGTCCCAAATGCTGCTTCCAACTCAGTGGTTTTAGCAGAGGGGAGGACAATTACCTTGATTTGCCTTACCTGGAAGGGGTATAATCAAGGACATCGATGGGTATAATCAGTTGGGTATTGATGGCCATAGTCAACCATTGGGTATAAGCAATGACAACCAACAAAAGCAAAGTAGGGTTCCTGCATTGCCCATCCTTGCTCTAAGGAGTCCTGCAGAAATTTCTTATCAGGGATTGGAAGGCCAACATCGGCAGATGCCAGAGTAGATAAATTGATGTTCCTCTTGCTCTCTTGTTTCTTCTTGTCACAGCAATCGCCATGCTTGCTTTTTTTGTTCATAACAGGGTGACATTTGTTTTAAACAACCAAGATAAACTTTTCTGGACTCCAAAACCATTTTAAGATGAATTTAAAAATAAATAAATGAAAGGAACCCTCCTTGCTTATTGTTCGAAAGTGCTGGGGGCAGCCGCCGAACCATCTTTTGCTTGGGACGGATCTGAAATGAGCTTGTGGTGCTTTCCCTCCCACGGTCCACTGCGAGTTTATTTCAGGCCTTCCTTCTTTGAGCAAGCCAATTTGGGGTGGGAGACCCGCCATCCTGGTGTTGCTACTATTAAAAAAAGAAGAACAATTCCCTCTCGATCGTCTGCCATTCCCCCGAGAGGAGACCGGGGAAGAGAACCGACATTTTGCAATTGCAAAGGTCGCTTTTATGCATGCTCTCAGGGATGCTGCAAAGCAAAGATGCTGTTGGTTGACTTTCCAGTAGGGGAGACAAAAAAAACCAACAAGCTCCTCTAAGTATTTGGAGGTTCTGATGCCCATTCACTCGCTTTTCAACCAGGAGAAGTCTCTTCTGAAGATGGTACCTCAGGACGAAGACTCTAATGATCGACCTTTGCACATACCCAAGGAGATCTGGCTCCTGGTGGATCACCTCTTCAAGAATGCCTGCCATCAGGTACGGTTCGGGAACCACCGAAGCCAGGGTGGTCTCCACATTTGGCAACTCGTGGACTTCCAACTCCCAGAATTGAACTTCAGCTTCTGGGAATTGAAGTCCTCGGGATAGGATAGGATAGGATAGGATAGGATAGGATAGGATAGGATAGGATAGGATAGGATAGGATAGGATAGGATAGATATTGGAATGAAAGAATAGGAATAGAATAGACAATAGAATTAGAATAGAATTAGAATTAGAATTAGAATAGAATAGAATAGAATAGAATAGAATAGAATAGAATAGAATA